GTGAAGGCGCGCTGCAGCCCCCGACGACTTCCCTGCCGGTGCCCTGTGCAGTCCCGGGGATGCCTCCTTTGCCGGAACCCCCACACTCCCCGGGGGCGGTGACGTCACCGACGAGGGTGACGTCACACCTCGAGGTTTCCCCGGTAGGGTTTTCCCGGGTCTGAGATTCGGCCGTTGCGGCTGAGACGAGGGAACTCCAGGCAGGCCAGCAGGGGGCGCGCGAAGGCCGGACTCGGCCTCTGCGCAAGGGAGATTCGCCCGCCACCCGCACCCCCTGAGCCCCGCTTGGTTGCTTGGCGGCGGGGAAAGGGTGGCCCACCTTCTAGAGCCACACAACCAACCACAGGCGCCCATCTTCGGCCCTATGCATGTGTCTAGCAGCCCCAGGCGCTCTAGGTCTTGTACCCGCTCCCACCCCTGGCTGCCCAAAGCATGGAACATCCCAGCCCTACCTCCCGATGGTCGCCGTTCTCTAGCGGGAGCTCCGGGCCGGTAGTTCCCGCTGCATCTATCTGCCTTTGTCCGCGCCGAATACCCTCCCAGCGTGAGCTGTTCCCTCTTCCTTTCCTCTATGTGCCTCCACCCGCCAGATCCCAGTTTCTTCACCTCCTACTCCTGCTTAGTCCAACTTGGCCCTACCCTTCCAGCTCCAGGACATTGGGTCGCTTCCCCTCAATTCCTTTCCCATTCCCCAGAGGGAAGGAAAAGTCTTTAGTACCACCTGGTCCCGCATCACTCCAGACGGGCCCCTCTCCTCCCAGCTCCTCTCCACAGCCAGGATTGGGAGGGGAACCTGGCATCCTAAGAGGTATGTGGGAGGGGACCCTGACGGCAGAGTGAAGGATGGCAGGCGACTGTTCATCACCTCCGCAGAGCAGAAATGAGCCCTTCTTGAATGCCTTTTACTCAGGGGCTTTCATATATCACCCTTTGGGGTAACTGTAATTAGTCCTATTTTAAAGGTAAGGAAGGGGGAAGCAATTAGCTGTAGAGATAGCAGGTGGCCGTGCTGTAATTTAAATCCAAGCCTGACTACAACACCCTAGCCTGGGGTGGAACAGTGCTGCCTGAGCTATGTTGTGAGGCCTCTCCCAGGAGCCCCACGGACACCCCTATCTTCAACATGTCCAAGGAACACAGCCAGCTTTGGGGGCCATGGTGGGCCTGAGCCCCAACGTGGGGGCTCCACATCAAGCCATCTCAGACTGGTCTGGCAGTAAGCTGGGGGGTGGGGTGGGGAGGGGGAGCCAGGGCACAGGCCACCCCAAGAGGGCTCTTGTCAGACGAAACAGCTGCCTGTGCCATGTGCCACTTGGTGCCTGTGCCAGTCCTGTTATCCTGGGCCTGCATTCCGGAACAGACAATGGCAGGAACAATAGTTCCACCCACCCCCTCCACAGCCCTGCCATGAGGCTGCCATGGCGACGCAGCCCTGATAAAAACACGATGCTGCCAGTCACTGGGAGTTAAATAAATCCGTTGTTCTCCTTTTCCTGAGCCCACAGGAATTTTCAGGAATGCTCTGAGGAAGTTGATACTAACTAGGGGGCCCCTTGGCCTGCAGAGCAAGAACAGCTCTGGGTCAGAAAAGGCACTTCTGTGGCTGGAGGTGATGTCTAGCTGAATTTAGAAATAGAACTAGCTACCAAGGCCTGTCTACTGTGTGTCAGGCCTTGTTCTAGGCTCTTTTCATGCAGAATCTTGTGTGATCTTCACCAGCACTTTCTCACTGGGGGTGGGAGTCCATCTGATAGATGAGACCAGCTCAGACAGGGAAATGAACTTGCTCCAAGTCACAAAGCTAATAAGGGGGGGATCTAAGATTTAGCCCGAGTCTGAATGCAGTCTGTCAAAACACC